TTGTTGGGTCTTTTCCTGGTTTGGGGATCGAGGTGATGTTTGCTTCATAGAATATGTTGGGTAGTATTCCTTCTTTTTCTATATTTTGGAAAAGTTTGAATAATACAGGTACTAGTTCCTCTTTGAAGGTTTTGTAGAATTCTGATGTGAAGCCATCTGGTCCCAGGCTTTACTTTTTAGGGATATTTTGTATAGTTGATGCTATTTCAGAACTTGATATAGGCCTGTTCAACATTTCCACTTCATTCTGGCTAAGTCTAGGGAGGTGGCATGCTTCCAGGTATTGGTCTATTTCCTTCAGATTTTTGTATTTCTGAGAATAGAGTTTCTTATAATATTCATTAAGGATTTTTTTAATTTCTGAGAAATCTGTTGTTATTTCATCTTTACCATTTCTGATTCATGAAATTAAAGATTTTACTCTTTTTTTCCTGTTCAGGTTAACCAAAGGTTTATCTATTTCATTGATCTTTTCAAATCTAAGTTTTGGATTTATTGCTCTGTTCTATAATCCTTTTGTTTTGAATTTCATTTAATTCTGCTCTAATTTTGTTTATTTCTTTTCTTTTGCTCAGTTTGGAGTTGGAATGGTCTTCCTTTTCCAGTTGCATGGGTATGCATATTCCTGTTGTTATTGAGTTCAACTTTTATTCCATGATGGTCCGAGAGCATGAAAGGAATAATTTCTATTCATTTAAATTTGCTGAGGTTAGACTTGTGACATAAGATGTGATCAATTTTGGATGATGTTCCATGGGCTTTGAGAAGAATGTGTATTCAGTTTTCTTCGGATGAAATGTTCTATAGATGTCTGTTAGATGCAAATGTTGAATGGTTAAGTTTAAGTCTAAAATTTCTTTGCTTAGCTTTTTTTTGGAGGATCTATCCAAAGGAGTATAAAAATCTCTCATTACTATGGTGCTGGAGGAAATCAAAGTTGCTCATGTCTATTAGAGTCTCTCTTACAAATTGAGGCGCATTCTGGTTCGGTGCATAAATGTTAACAATTGAAATGTCATCATGTTGAGTATTACCCTTAACAAATACGAAGCGGCCATCCTTATCTTTCCTTTCTTTTGTTGGTTTAAAGTCTATTGTATCTGCAAATAAAATTGCAACACCTGCTTTTTTCTGATTTCCATTTGCCTGAACTATAGATGACCATCCGTTCACTCTGAGACTATATTTGTCTTTTAAGGTCAGATGGTATTCTTGTATGCAGCAAATATCTGGGCTTAATTTTTATATCCAGTCAGCCAACCTGTGCCTCTTTAGAGGGCAATTTAAGCCATTCACATTAATTGTAAATATTGATAAGCCTGTTAGAATTTTGGGTACCGAGATTTTTGAAGGTCCAGGGGACATTTTTAATCCTTTTACCACTATAGAATTTGGAATTTGATCAAAATTTTCTGACTGAGTTTACTTTTGTGGTGGAGAATTGCGCTAGTCATTAGGGAGGATAGGTCTAAGAATATGCTGGAGAGCTGGTTTAGTTATGGCAAATTTCTTCAACATGTGAATGTCATTAAAATATTTCTCCATCATGAACGAAACTCAGTTTCGCCGGATACAGGATGCTGGGTTGAAAGTTATTTTGTTTTAGGAGATTAAAAGTTGATGACTGTCCTCTTCTAGCTTGAAATGTTTCAGCAGAGAGATCTGCAGTCATTCTAATATTCTTCCCCTTGTAGGTTATGGTTTTCTTACGTCTGCCTGCTTGCAGAATTTTCTCCTTCATGTTAACTTTGGCGAAGTTAATTATAATGTGTCTTGATGAAGTCTTATTCAGGTTGAGTCATGCTGGGGTTCTGAAAATGCTGTAGGAATTTCAGAATCTCTTGGCATGTCTGCAGAGTTCTCCTTCATTATCTCATGAAGAAGAGCTTCCATGCCTTTCGAAGCCACCTCGTCACCTTCAGGAATTCCTGTAATGCGAATATTAGTTGTCTTCGAATTATCCCAGAGCTCTCTGGGAGAATGATCCATTTTTGCTCTCCACTTCTCTTCCTCTTTGAGCATTTGGGAGCATTCAAAAACTTTGTCTTTAATTTCAGAAATCCTTTCTTCTGCCTGCTCTATTTTGTTACTGAGGATTTCTATTGTATTTCTTAGATCTTTGAGGGCTGCAAATTCTTGTCTCAATGTGTTAAAATCTTTGGAGATTTTGTCTTTAAATTCATTGAATTATTGAGAAAACTTTTGAAATGCTTCTTGAGTTTCTAATTCCAACTTTACCTCCATTCTGTTAATCTTATTTACAATCCAAATTCTGAATTCAATTTCTGACATCTCAGCCATCTGTTTATGAATGGGATTTTCAGTTGTGTCCGCCATATTATTCCTTGTGGAGGTTGATCTACTTTGGTTATGCATGTTGCTGGTGTGTTTCCACTGATTCTGTCTCATGTTTATTTTACACCGTTTGGCTATATGAGCAAATAAAGTGAAGTTGGGCTGGGGGCTCCATGAGTAGTGATTAACCAGCTCTTTGCCCAAGAGCTAGGACTGGTGTCTGTACCTTTTCCCCTAGAGCTTTGCCAAGGACCCATACAGTGCTGAGGTCCCTGAGAAAGTGGGGACCTGTTTGTTGTGGTGATGCTAAGTGGCTCTGTCTTGCTTTCAGCTGGTGTTTGTCCTACTTTAGTGCTCTGGATTGAAGTCTCAGCTGTGGAGAAATACCAGGAATTAGTCACCTCGCCCTCCATGGGCAAAAACTGGGAAAGGAACATTTATCTTTCACACAACCACACACCCAGGGTACCACTTTGGATAGTCCTCAGGTGATTAGCCCAGTTTAAGAATTCCAAATCAGTCGTCTCAGTCAGCACCAGTCTCAAGTGGGAGAGTTCAAAAGGTCTCTGGCAACTAGATAGCAGGGGTCTGCTGGCAGCTCAAGTATGTCTAGCTCTTGTGCTTTGTTAGATCAGAAGGATCCACACAACAAATGAATTAATCTGGGAAGGTTGATGCCTCCTTCCCCGCCTTGCACCTGTGTAACACCCAGTCACTGGTAACCCTGCAGGGCTGTGACCCAGTTCCCTTCAAGGTACAGATGCTCCATGGGTTTGCGCTTGCCTGAGTCACATGGGATCTCTGTCTCCTCAGCCAGGCTGCTGCTCTCTCCCACTATTGGCAGGGGAAGCTGAGGCCTGACAATTTCAGGTGCTTAATGGAGGCTGGGGCGGTTCACTCAGTTCCAGCCCCGCCCCTGATTGTTATTTATGACAGTACAGAATAACTTCACAGAATTTTTTTCTATTCCTGCTTTATTCCCGTGCGGATCAGATGCTGTTTGAGTTCATAGAAACTGCGACTCAGCTGTGGTCTGTGCCACTACCTGGAGCTGGCATGTCTGACTCGGCTGCAGTCTGTGTTGGGGTAGGTGCAGCTGGAGCTCACACTCAGCTTTCTGTTTCTGCCTCTTCCCACCTGCCTTTGTTTCAGCTATGATCCCCTGAGGGCCAGGTGCATCTTAGGCTCATTAAAGCAGTCCTTCTGGTTCAGCTCCGCCCTGGGAGTATGCCCTCTCAGCTTGCGTATTCTAGTCCCTGCCCTGCCTAGGCAAGTACTGCCTCAGGCATAACCTTCACTTATGGGGCCTGGGTTATGGTTCCAGGTCTTTTCTGCCTGTGTCTGTCACCCGAGGAGATGCCCGGCTTCCTCTGGTTCCCCAGAGAGACAGGGAGTGTCTCTTCATAATATCTCTAGGAGTGTGAGCCCTATTGTTCCCCCCTACTACTGCTGCTGCTCTGTGCCTGGGGCACTGCCTCTCCCTCTCCTGTATGGTTCCCTTAGTTCACCACCTTCTCCTTATTCCCATACTGCAGAATCAAAACAGACCAGCAACTGCAAACACCCTGTCTACACCTCTCAAGAAAATGCCCAAGAATCTGGACTCCATAGGGGACAGGCTTCCAGACCTCAGGGTGAGAGTAGAGAGAAGTGCCGGGAGTTCAGAAGTGTAGGTAGAGAATATGTACAGTTTTATATAGTTTTATGCCTGGTGGGAGAGTGCCATGGCACATTCATAAGTCCTCTCTAGAGAAGGAGTTTGGTTTTTAGAGGATCTCTCCCATGGGATAAAATAGGAGGGGATCTGAACTCTGCTCACTTGTTTGTATAGAGTATACTGCGAGCCGTTCTCATGGGGGAGGAGACGTCTATCTGCTTGGCGATGGATTTTGTTCCTATTGTTTGTTTCCTTGGGGTCAAAGCTCACCTCAGGAAGGTTAATGTGTGTTCTTCAACCTCTCTTGGCTCAGCTTCAAACCATCAGCTTACTTTGCTAGACTTCTGTCCTTTAACTCTCCTTCTGGATGGGAACCTCTGTGGAATGCTGGCTCCAGTTGACCATCTTGCCTCCTCCCTCTCCCTCGCAGTTTTTATGGTGCAAATACAGACTTTCGAAAATAAAGTAGGTGAAAGATTCCTGTGTAAATGCACAGTTTGATCTAGTGCCTTTTTGTCAGGACTTCCTTTTGTTGTTAGGAAGTTTGAATCATTAACTGAAGATCTATTATGTTGTGGTCTAATAAAAAAGTTAATGAGTCTAATCACAGAGCCCGTTTTTTGATTATTTATATGTGAATTATTTTTAAAAATAACTTTTGGCTCTGGAACATTGCATACATTTACAAAAGTACTCATCATCCAGTTTCAACAATTTGTCAACTCTTTTGCTAAGCTTTATTCCCCAACATCTTCCCTCTCCAAACTGGAATATTTTGCAGCAAGTACTAGACATGATTTAATAAATATTTTAGTGTATTTCCTAAAATATAAGAATGCTTTGAAAATTATAACCACAATTTCATCATCACACATAAATCATTAGGAATGTTTATAATCGTAGTGTTTTAGTATACATTGTATGTGGTAATTTAAACTTTTTAAAATCTTTAAAGGAAGGTTGGTGTTCTTTTGCACAAATACTATATATTTGAAAATAATTGTGGGAGGAAAACATTAAAGCATTTCTTCCATTTTTCTTTATGCAGAAGAAAGCAGTGGTGATCCGTCACTTGTATAATGAAGACAGTGTGAACAGGCCTGAAGACATAGGGATAAGCACAGTAACAGGTGTGAATGAAGCAGTGGCTGTGTCTGACTTAAAGCCTGCTGAAATAAGGATACCTGAAGTAAAGGGCCCTGAAATCAAAGCTGAGCAGCAAGTAAGAGTCTTAGACCTCTTTAACAGATGCCAGTATTTCTTATTTTCATGTATGTGATTATTTCAGCATCTAACTTTGGGGTACTTCTGGACTATTAATCATAACACATTACCTATGTTATCACCATGTAAGAAATCAGCATGTCTTACCATATATAATTCAACAGGTATTATTTGCTGCTAATGTTTAGGATGCTGGGCTGAGTGTTACAAATAATGTAAAGAAGAGTAAGACATGGCATTCTTTTTTCTGTTATGTGGCAAACCAAGTAATCTCAGGGCCCTGTTGTTTTGTCCCTTCCTCTTAGCTTTGTGCTACATTTTTTTCCAAGAAGCTGGTTAATGACAGTTTTATTTTACTACTTGGTCCGCTTTAAGAGTGTTATGCAAAATAACTCATTTGCTCATCACAAGAACCATATGAAGTGGGGACTAATCTTATGCATATGTTTTTAGATGGTCATAAGTCCCAGATGAGTTTGTCTAGGTGTACAAATAGTCTGGCTCCAGAGACAGCCTTCTCAGCTCTCATGTTGCCCTATCTCTCCTAACTATTGAAATGACAGTGGCAGTGAGAATACATTTGTTTTAAAGGAACTGCAATTTGTATAATATTATTTTTAAACTTTGTAATCATTTTAGGAAATAAAAGTTAGTCCTGAGATTATTATACTACAGACTATGCTCGCTGAATGCCAAGAAAAACTTAAAAAACTGACGTGGATAGAGAAAAGGTTAGAATACCTGGAAGAAAACATGAAAGGGAAAGTAATGGTGAATGAGAAGACCTGGACTCATCTTCTGAGTCGGATCACTCTTCTTGAAACAGAAATGCTGTTGTCTAAAAAGGTATTTACTTTTCTTTACATTTATAGAATATATCAGGTACAATAAAGTATTTTATATGTCCTTTTTTGAAAATGCTAAGTTCAAGAGTATTTAGGTAATGGGAAGGCTAGTTAGAACGAAGTCTTGTTTAAGGATAAAGATTTTGTTGCTATGGCCGTTGTTTTTCTCTTCATCAAATGAGATAATCTGAAAAACCTGTAATGAGGTGAGAACATGATTGACTTTGTTTATGAAAAGCTCTATCTTTTAATAGTACAAATGTCTTAATTTCACAGTGTTGAAGAAAAATTAGTAGAGGAAAAATTAAAATTATAACTCTTTCCTTTTTCAGATTCATTTACTACAATCATATTGTGGATCTCACAGAAATATTTACCAAATTAGCTATTGCCTTATCAAATCTAAGAAATTTCCCCCCACTTCAGGATTTCAATTTTTGGTCTGTTCTTCCTAGAGAATGAAGTTGGTAGATTTAAGAAATTTGCTATCTGCTTTCATATTTAAAATATTAGTTTTTACTCATAGGAATATACAAAATATATAAATATCTATTTATAAATTAAAAATTCAAATAATTTAAAAAACTTAAATGTTTATCTTTTCATCTTTTTATTTCATGTTTGGCAGTAAGAATATAAAATGAGAACATTTTTATTTTCTTCTGAATATATCACTGTATTGTTCCAGACTGATGGATGTATAGAGTTTAATGAAATGAGTGAAGACTGCACTTCTTGTAGTGACATGGATCTTCTGAATCCTGGTAAGTCCTTAAAGGGTATTAGATTGGTGGTATAATAAAGAGTTTTCAGAAGAGTGCTTTTATGGGTACTTGGTAATTTTAATTTTCTTGACCTTTATTGTTTAAAGATTGCAAACCTCTTAGGACAAAGACAGTAATGAACCAACAGACTACTCAAGGCACCAGTGTGGTGTGTTCCAGTACAGTTAGGAGGAAGGGTGCTATGGGCACGTGAAGGAAGTTGAAGCCGAAAAGTAAAAAGATCAAACCATGGAGTTTATCCCAGAGCCCTAGAAAGATTGTTATTCAAGTTAACATTCTCAGATTTGTGTTTCAGAAAGGTCATCAAGATAGCAGAAAAGTGATTTATTAAAGGAAAGATAGGCAAGGACAGTATCACTCTGCTAAGACAGTGACAGTGAGGGTAAAGAGCAGGTGATGTATTTGGGAGATAAGCAGTGGTTACTGATAGAAGTTAGAGGAGCCAAGGAGGGGAGAGAGGTTAGGACTGACTACTTGCATTTGGCTCATATGCTTTGAGTCAATAGTTGTTACTCTTTAATAAAATAGAGAATTCAGGAGGAGGAGAAGATTTGAGAAAAACAATAAGTTCATTTTTGGACATATTAAATTATACATGAAACACTTTAGATAGAATATCCAGAAATCAGTTGGTCCTTGATTTGGAAGTACTGGTTTACAGATTATTAAACAATATCCAGAAATCAGTTGGTCCTTGATTTGGAAGTACTAGTTTACAGTTTATTAAATAGTAAAGGACCCAACTGGTTCTCATCATGGAATAAAGTGATAATCCTCCAAAGGTAGCAGTGAAAGGTCATGTGGGAAGAGTTGCCTAGAAGATGTAGTGTTGGAAGATTTCCTTTCTTCACAGAGCTCTCTTAGCAGTCACTACTGACTGATGCTCTGAACAGCTGGCACCAGGGGCCACTGCTTTCCCTTTCATTTTTAACCTGAACGTATGTACTCATTCTTTTGTCAATCCCCTATAGCGAAGCTAGGAAACTATTAATGTTTAAACAAATAAGATTTTGATAAAGGCTTGGGAAAGCAATATGAAAAATGTAATATGCACTTAAGTGACCTGGGTATTAAGTACTGCTGGTGTTCTCCCTACATGCCTCATAATAACTCTGGAATCCCTATAGGGATATCTCTGAATAGTGTGCCAGCCTGCCTTATCCCAGCTTTTTCCCACAGTGAGGCATACCCTTGAATAAGGCTAATAACCACAAACTCTGGACCCCAAAAAGCAAGGCTAAGAAGGCCACTCCTTCACCGTCTATTTATTGATCTCTCCCCAGTCCTGTTCTCTGTTCTGAGGTCCTATCTTTTTGGAATAACATAGGAAATGTTCATTACCTTCAGAGAGCACCTATTTCTACCTGTAGAAAATATTACAGGATCTATGGTATATGACATAGATATACTGCCTACCTAGTTTCAAATTATTTCTTAAAACCACCTGTTGTCCATAGCTCCTTCCAGGAGATCTGGGTCTAGTTAGTCTTCAGGGTTGTACCGTGTGATCTTGCCCCCTTGCCTCAACCAAGTGGACCAAGAATAGATATTCAGTCTAGGGGATACCAGCCCAAAAGGGTGTAGAGCCAAATTACATTCTCTCTCTTAGGATCTGGAATTAGAACAACAAGAGTAAGTCACTCAAATGATGTCAGCCCGGGACTGGACTAGCCATGTGGTCCAAGTTAATGCTGGTGAGTGAGCTGAGAAAGCCATTATACAGAAAAATGTAGGAGAATGGGACAAATGGCAAGAAAGATGGGCAAAAGAGACTGTGGCTCCCTGAGAGATAAGAGCTGGTCCTCTACTAGTTGTGGTCCTCACTTTCATTCCTTAACTCTCACTTTGTCAAATAAATGTCTGAAACATTCAATATTTTAGCTTTTTAGAAAACTATATGATCTTAAATTTTAAGTATTATTTCTTTCCATAAGTGTCAACTTAAGGTAGAATGTTTCTTGATTTTTAAAAGGTGTAGGTAATCAGTTTTAGTAATAGTTGCTACTTGCCATAAGCAATAGTAAAACTTTTGTGAAATCCTTAGACATTATAGAATGAAAGCATTAAGACAAATTAATTGCTATTCATTATTTAATGTCTGTAGATACCACTTTTTTTCTCTTGTAAGTCCTATACAAGACTATCAAAGATGTCATCATTTTAAGAAAAGAATACACATGATTCAGTAGGTTTCATTTAAAAATAAGTTATTAGGCCAAGTGAGGTGACTCATCATGCCTGTAATCCCTCTGGGAGGCCAAACTGGGTGGATCACTTTAACTCATGAGTTCAAGACCAGCCTGAGCAAGAGCAAAACCCCATCTCTAAAAATGGCTGGGCATTGTGGTGGGTGCCTAGAGTTCCAGCTACTTGGGAGGCTGAGGCAAGAGGATCTCTTGAACCTAAGAGTTTGAGGTTGCTGTTAGGTATGATGCCATGGCACTCTACTGAAGGTGACAAAGTAAAACTTTGTCTCAAAAAGAAAGTAAAAAATAAATAAATTATTAACTTACCTGTTTATTCAAACTGCTATCATGACAATGATTATATTGCCTTTAGTAATTATTATCAGCCAGTTCTTTTAACATCTAGATCTAAGCTGTTATCTTAAAGAGTACTGAAAACTTTTCTTTGATCTGTTTATACAAATAGCCAATTTCTATAAAAATAATACTTTTCTTCCACCAATCAATAACACTTTTAGACATTTTGCTCTATTGTGAGAGAAAAACATAATGTAAAACTTAATTTGTTCACAGATAGAAATATCAAAGGAGAGAGACCAGTGAGTATTCCTCTGTCCTCTGGTTACAGTTCAGTATCAACAGATTCCACTCCCAGAGCCTCGACCATTCATTACTGTTTGAACGAGATTTCTCAGGTAAGAAACACTGGCAGCTGCTTAGACAATTTCCTTTCTAAGGTCAGGAAAACTAGCCTTAGTTTTGGTTGTATATACGTTAGCAAGAAAATAGCAACACTATATAAATCTTAATCTTTCAAAAATTGTTTCTGACAAGTAAATAGTACTTAATGCAGTGTTTCAGACTGTGTTTTATATGTTCATGTCCATCTTTGATGATGGTTTACTTCGCGAAATTGCCTAAATTTGTTGCTTTTTAAATTAAAGGAAACAACAATCCAGAAAATGGAAAGGATGAAAAAAATGTAAGTAACAGAAAGGGGCAACAGGAATTCATTTCTCCGTAGGGAACTGTATTGGATTGCAAGTAGATATAGAATGTGCATATGTGTTTCCAACCTCAAAGGTCTCTCAGTCAGGTATGGAATTTCCCTCAGGACTCAAGTGGATAATAAATCCACCTACAGTTATGTGTTTGTGAGATAAGTCACTCTTGTGGTTTCTAACAAGTAATGTAAAACATTGTTGATGGAATTAACTGCAGATTAAAGACTTTAGATATATTTTGGTTGGTAGTATATCAGTATTATTTGGTTTTGATTTGTAATATTATCAGAATATTAATATATCGATGGATGGTTTGGAGATATTTTCAGTTACTGTTAAAGATATCACTGTTCCTTTGTTTCAGGTTACTGATAATACTAAAAATGATATTTTTAGCCAGTATGAATGAGATTATGTATGATTTCATAAAGAGCAGTTCAAAGGAAATATAAAACTATATATGAGATTATTATATAGCTGTTACTTTAAAACACAAATTTTTTTAAAAATTTTAAAAGTACTGTAGTAACTTACACTCTAAGAATATAAGCCTCCGAATTAACTCTAGTTGTTTTTTTCCCCCCTCTGACTGTAATATACTTAAGTTTACTCATAATAACTATACTTGTAAATAAGAACAAAATTCAAATTATTTCAAGCTAAAAAGCATAATTTCAGCAACTTAAATCCTGTGCTTCATTATAAGTTATTTATTTACTTAACATATTATCTTGTTTATTATATTTCAGGTTTGAAGAAACTGCAGAATTACTGAAATGCCCAAATCATTAATTGTAGAATTTTCCACATGAACTTCTCTAGGACTTTGGCTATTGTATGTGTTGTATATGTTAAGAATTCTTAATACAATTTTAATAAACTGCACTATTTTTGTTAATATAAATTCCATTTGGTATATGAGTTTTTTCATTCTTTATTGAATAAATACTTTAACATTTTTGAGCTATGATTATACTGTTTTACTCTGTTTCACTTTTCTTAGGGAAACCTTATGTTCCAGTGCATTTCTCCTGCAGAGTGACATCATTGCATTGCTTTATGTCTGTGTTGACATTTGTTGGCAGTGTGCTAAGTATGTTTTTTAAAGTACAGGCTGGAGGTTTACTTGCTGTGGAAATGCTCCAACTGGGACTCGGTATTGTACCTGGGAGGCTCTCGTATAACATCTTGCTATCTGTACTGATGAATACATTGTACCGAAAAGTTAAAAGTGCTCATCAAAAATTAAATAATACAAAATACAGCTATTTCGTGCTTAAATAAAAAAGCAACAACATCTTTTCAATTAACACTAAGAACTGAAGAATAAGATTCCCTTTTGCTATGTGGAATTTAGTGCGGAGCCCTGTAGCACATTGAGGCCTGCAGGGCAGACTGACACTGTTGCTGCACAGTGTTACAAGGTGCACAGGGAGATGTTTTGCTTTTTAATGGTGAGAAGTTGATGGGGCTTTTTTTCTCTTTTTTCTGGAGAAAGAAAAAAGCCTAAGATGAAGCCTAATCCAGGGGTGTAAGGGTTAACAGAAATACTAAACTACATCGTAAGAGGAAGTGCTAGCCTAATTCAACCCCCATGTGAAAAGGCCAGATAAAGAGACCAGTACTGGTAAGAAAACCGGATAGAACTAGCTACATTGTACAAGACTTAGACTGAAACGCAGAGCACAGTGCAGGGCCCCTCCCCTCAGGACAGCATAACCCCTCCGCCCTCCCCTCACATTTTAAACCTATCATAGGCCAAAGACTACATTCCTAGCCTTATATAGACTCAGCGTCATAAAGTAACCACTCCCCCTCAACTAACCCTATATAAGATTGTACCAATCCCAAATAAACAGCTTCAGCTCAGCCTTCTCCCTATACTGTATGAGTGATTGTGTGATTGTGTCCACCCTTTCCTTCTCCCTCTCATACACCGATCACAAACTCCCTGACACCGCCCGCCGGTCGGGCAGTGTCACAGGGGCAAATGAAATTCATTTAAAAACTGCTATGTTGGTTGGCATCTGTGCCTCAGTGAGTAGGGCGCCAGCCCCACATACCGAGGGTGGCAGGTTCAAACCTGGCCCCTGCCAAACTGCAACAAAAAATAGTTGGGGTTGTGGTGGGCGCCTAGTCTCAGCTACTTGGGAGGCTGAGGCAAGAGAATCGCCTAAGCTCAGGAGCTGGAGTTGCTTTGAGCTGTGAGGCCATGGCATTCTACCAAGGGCAATAAAGTGAGACTCTGCCTTCAAAAAAAAAAAAAACTGCTATTTTAATTATCTTTTCAAAACTTTATGAGTACATCTTGGATAATCCTCAAGAAAATTGATTCCATTATTTAGAAGGAAAACAGGAGCATATTTTTTCTTTTTTATTATATAGATCATCTGATTATATTTTATTTATTCAGTTGTTTATATTATATAATTCAGTATTTCACTGTCAAATATAAAACACTAAATTATAAGTAAAAATATCCTTTTTAGTATCCTAACAAATGCTCAGTTATTAGACTTTAAAGATATGAAATTTTATGTTAGCATACAGTCATGCAACCCTGAATTTAGTAGAGTTGCAGTGAATATTCCCAGAATTAATGAAGCCTGTTATCCTTATTTTTTCAATTGCAATACAGATACATTTGTAAAAATCAAGATACTATAGTTATAGAGAATAATATCAATTAAGATACATATTGGTACCAGTGTGGAATTATAGCACCACCTTGTGGTTCATAAAATAAATGATTTCCCATAAAACATAAGATCATATTTTCCTGTTTGAAAAACTCAATTTCAATTTTAAAAAGAAACATTTTTGAAGTTTTCTTGTAGAAGACAAAAAAAGGTAAGCCTCTTTCTCTATCTCTTTCTCCCCTCCCCATCTTTTTTCTTACATAATGTAGATATATACACAATTGGGTGATGTAAAACATTTCTAATTGCCTAGCATACCTATAGTATGTACCACATAAATGTATATTGAAAATACAATTAAGTATTTCATATATATTACCATGTAGAAATTTTCAATCCAAATTCTCTGACTTTAACAACTATGTAACAGGAACTGGTAAAATTATCTGATAACACTACACATTTACAGAGAATATACTGTTTTGACAATATAATTTTTGGAAAAATAAAGTCAATTTGACTTTGTTAAAGTTATTTAAGGGGTAACCAAATTATTATTTTTAAAAACTTTTCTAGGCAATTTGGTAGGTAGTTTGTAACCGTAAACTAGCCCCTTTTGATTAACTTGAGAAGATGAAATAGGGGTGTTGTGGAGAGATTATGTGAGGCTACATAATTAACTCTTCATTAACTAAATCCATCCTCTTCATTCTTTCATGCACTGGATGAAAAGGAATTATACTAGCAACAAAGGCATCAGGGGTTTGTGCTGCCCTATCTATGTTGTGCTGGATGTCTAGGCCTAGGAGAGGTTACATAGGAATGCTGTGAAGATGCATGCAGGTAAGGTGCTATTCAGAAGGAGTTGAAAAGAAGTCATACTAACTCCATGACAATTCTAGGCAAAGCTAAGTACTTTTAAGTTGGATAAAGTAGTTCTGTCTTGTTTTTGTTTTGTTACGTTTTCTACCATTTTTTAGTGTGATGTTTCATATATTTCTTATACATATTTCATATATTATTATATATATTTTCATATATTTCTTATATATATTTCATATATATTCATATATTTCTTAAATAAAACTTTACAAACTTTGGTACTGTGTCTTATGCTGTTTATTACTCACAGCTTTGTATAATTTATACACACTTAGGGAAGCATTAAACAATAAAAAAAAATCTTACCAATGTAATAAACTACAATACTTTTTTGGGTTCACATAGCATCATAGTTTTATTTTTCCTGTTTGACAGTCCCCAGTTCTGTCTGTCTGCTTTCTTTGAAGGATATAGTAAGGGTAAAGTGATGGAGGTAGCGAAACTTTAAAATGCAAAATTGTTGAGTCGCTTGAGCTTTAATGTTGTAAGTGGAAATGGCAGGTTTCTTATGCTGCTCGAAGAGAAAAGAAAATTAATATAGTAGTGACAGCACTAGCAAGGCTAAGACTGTACAGATTTGTTTTGAGGGAGTTTTTGAAAAAATCTTGAAGATTTGAATAGCCAATCCAGTTCTATAAAATAACCAATCTGGAGGCATCACGTCACCAGTCTCAGGTTATACTACAAGTCTATGGTGATCAAAAGAACATGGGACTGGCATAAAAATAGACACATAGATCTTTGGGACAGAACAGAGAACCTACAGATGAAACCAGCTTCACATCACCAGCTGATCTTCAATAAACCAAAACATACACCAGGGAAGAGAATCCCTATTTAATGAATGGTGCTGGGTGAACTAGTTAGCTACATGTAAAAGGTTGAAGCTAGGCCTGCACCTCTTGCCACTTAAAAAAAATTAACTCATGATGGATAAAAGATTTAAACCTAAGACACAAAGCTATAAAATCTCTAGAAGAAAGTGTAGGGAAAACTCTTCACATTGGTCTTGGGAAAGAATTTATGAAGACCCCAAAGGCAACTGGCAACAGCAAAAATAAAAATAATGAGACCTGGTTAAGTTTAAAGGTTTCTGCACAATGAAGGACACAACAACGCCAAGAGACAACCTATAGAATGGGAGAAGATATTTCCATGCTTCAAATCCAACAATAACCAGAATCAACAAAGAACTCAAGCACATCAACAAAAATAAAGAGTAAACAACCCCATTAAAATCTGGGCAAGAGACATGAACAGAATCTTTTCTCATGAGGACAGATGGATGGCCCTCTGACTAACTGCACTGAGGTACCACGTGACCCCTGACAAGGTTGCAAAGCTACAGGTGCTGGCATGCGTGCAGAAAGAAGGGAGCACTTTTCCACTGCTGTTGGGACTGTGCACTAGTATAGTCTTTATGGAAAGAAGTGTGGAGTATCCTCAAAGAAAAAGTAGACCTACCATTTGATCCTGCAATCCTATAACTATGTATCTCCCAAAAGAAAAAGTCTTTTAACCATAAAAACATTTGCTGTCAAATGTTTATAGCAGCCCAGTATATAATTGCAAATAGGTGGAAACAACCCAAGTGCCCTGCAACACATGAATGGATTAATAAACTGTGGTATTTATGTACCATGGAATACTATTCATCCATAAAGAAGATAAGAGATTTTTGTATCCTGTGTTATTACTGGGGCGAATTTGGAGAACACTCCTATGTAAAGCATGACAGGAGTTGAAAAACAAGAATCCTATGTATTCTACATGTTGAAACTTGTAGATTAACAATGTGCTTATATGAGAGAAAAACTCAAATCTAAAGGAGCAGGATGTCAGTAGGTTTCTTCCCAGCAGGAACAAAGTGCAAGTGTATGGCACACTTCTTGTATGGACAGAGCTACAACTGAAACTATCCTTACAAATACAAACAATGTAACTTAATTGTATATACCCTCATGTTAATCAGAATCTTTTTTTTAAAAATGCAAAAATTCATACAAAGGATACAGGATAGTATTATATAACAGATTTGCCCTGGGAAGAATTAATAATAGTAATCTTTGGCTGAGTGAGATTCTGTATAGTGTCTTGGATAGTAAATGATGGGAGAATATACTATCACAAAACACATCACTTTGGTATAAAACCTATTTTGAGCTAATGGCACTTGATGTAAACATTTAGGTTTTGCCCCTTCTTCAGCTCGTCTTTCTATGAAGGTCCCCATGTGCATGTTTTGCACTGTTTTCTGAATCACTCTTCCACTTTTCTTACTCATAAACTATATTTTTCAGTTTTCAAATGTGCTGGACTTTCCATGGCCTTATATGTGCTGTTCTGTCTACCTGAAGTG